AATCACAATACACTCTCAACTGTCAAACGGACGGCCAACATTACCATACCTGAGTTGTTTTTGCGCAACATGTCTGCCATGTCTTCGCCACATTGCCAACACGCCACCTTTATAAAGATCAACAAACACTGTAGTAGTACCTTTCAAAAAAGAAACACTGTAGTAGCTAGTACCACATGCAGGGAAAAGAGAGGTGCTGCAACGTGGGTTCTCTCTCTGATCTGTGGGCCCCATGTAGGTATAATAATGTTTATATCAGAAAGCTAGTATGACACGCGGGTTTGAGTCATTAGGAAAATTATTGTTATACTCTGTTGCGCATTAAGATAAAAGAAAATACCATGTCATGGGGTTAAATTTTTTTATTGGTTCTTTTAGCTGGTAATTTTCTTTTGCATGCGGATTAGGATGCTAGCTCCCATGTATATACATCCCTACCACGTCATTCAAACCCACTCGATATAGAGATGGAGTTGACGAGGGGGCTGACTGCCAACAGTTTAGAGGGTAAAATGGATTTTCTACTATAATTATAATCTTTGTACATACTTACCCAGCAAAAGAACAAATGTGTGTACATACTTCATAGAGCAAACCAAATAAACAAAAAATAAAAAGTAATTGCCAAATTAAGATACTTGAATGTTTCGGGTTAGTCTGATGCTAGATAGCCACAGTACATCATCTTTTTCTTCTTGTTGTCTTTATATACTGCAGCTTCCGTTTTAGAACATATTACCAAACTTTTATGCGAGTAGTATTATGTGTTCATTCCTATTTTTCCAGTTTCATGTACTAGAAATGTTGCATTATCATATGCATTTTAGAGTACTCCTGGTGTGCGCATGCATTGTATACGAAATCTGATTAATTATCCACCTGATTCCATCTACTTACACTACTATTAGCAAGGTACTAATCCTGTAAAGTACACTCCATTATGTGATGAAATATGTCAATAATCTTTTTGCTCTCCATAATTTTTTCAATGCTGGCTATATAGGACTCTTTGTTAGCTGTTGGGGAACACATTTCTATATGTGTTGCATGGCTTATTTGGAGAAAGTAATAGGAATAGGACCTATCCTGGCATATCTTCGTTAGGCCAATGTTATGACAACTGACAAAGGCCAGAGGAGGGACAAGATCAATATCCAGTTTTAATAAACTAGATTAGCTAGAATCCCTTTCGGTTTTTCCATGCAAAATATAAAGTATGAAGCTACATATACTTATGAAGTATTCAATTAATTTGGGGGATAAACTCTCTACTCATCATGGCTGTGTATCATGGGATCATTTCTAAATTTTGGTGGGACGAGTCAATCCCTTGTCTTGCCTTGGGCTTCATGCTCATGGTGACCAAACCCATCACATCCCTCAAACCCTAAACAATATGGAGATGACCTATATTCACCATGCGTCCCATTCCTCAAACCAAAGACCACAGTATATTCTTAACAAATTTGAGCGGGCGTGGAAAAGGTCACCAATGATCCAACAAAACTAGTTCCAGAAAGTCTCTATCAGAATGTAATTATTTCATGTAGCTAACCAAATTTAATGCTGAAAAATAAATAATGGTAACTGACTCAATGACTCAATGACTCCCAGCTAGTACGTACTATCTACCATATGGAAATTCTTAGCTCGGGGGAAACCTGAAAGTAGATATTTAGAGGGAGAAATATTCAAGTTCATAAGACTGTGTTATGCTCAATTAATAGAGTTATACCAACTAGAACTCCTAATAATTAAGATTATCATAGCATACAGATGCCAACTCTTTCTATTTTTCCTATACCCAGATCTTGAATCCAATATATTGCATCAGTAGAAGGACGGATTCCGTTCTTATGCAGGTATGAATGACTTTGTATGAAATTATGGATGTTAAATATACAAATGACCTTGCATGATATCAAACATGCATATAAAAAGTACGGTTGACTATAGCTCCAGAATTTTGCATTAAAACCCACAATTGTAAAATGCAGATAATTTGTGTATTGAGTTATAGACACCAGCATGCGTACTATCCTGAGGTCCCAAACACACAAACATGTTCTTTGTTGAATCTCTGTCACTATACTCACCAAAATTAGTGAGTATAAAACCATCAGCACATCAGATAAAAGAATTGTTCAGTATGCATATGGTTTTTTGAAATGCAGTATACATATAGTTAGATAGGCATAAATGTAATGGACACCACTATATTTGCACATTTAAGGTAGAAACAACTGCATAAATAAAAAAGAACTTTTTTTCTGCAAAACTTATGGATATATTAGTACATGTATGTTTGCTCATGTACACACCATGAAATCTTAGTGAGTCAAAGTCTTATTTTTTGCCATCTTTACTTTGTGATATTCGACATGGGAGCCTAGCTTTCAAGTCTAAATCTAGCTAGAGTATAAATATAGACGGATCAAATATTTCACACTCTCCAAATTTAGCTAGATAAATAACCAGTATTTACTACATACAAAAGTCTGTACACATGATGACGACAAGAAGACGCATGATTAATTTCCGCATGGATAACTATAAGGTAAACTGAAATTAGCATCATCACAAAAAAAAAAGAATTTCATGCATTAATCACCAGTATATGTACCAGTAGTTACTAAATGGATGGATAATTTAAAGAATATATATTTCTGACTTCTCTCGTTTCCCATCCTATTACTCAAAAAAAGTATATGTACTAGACTCTCTACAAGTTGAGTTGACAGCTTTGGTCACAAATACCTTCTCCATAATGTGTGTTCATTGTTTATTATGGTTTCATTTCCATGGTTTATAAAAGATAGAGGATAGGGAGGATTTTTTTTGCGGGGTATAAAAGAGAGAGGATAGGGAGGTGCCAATTTGACTTTTAACAGCAGACCCTCTAAGAAACTAATTAGCACTAGTGATAATAAACTTTTGGCTGCTGATTGTTGAGAAGTTCCACAAACTGTAAAAGTTTTTCGTTAATTTAGCCAAAAGGAATTGATGCTAGCTAACCAACTAACTGAAAGACTAAAATCAACAATGTTTGCTTTCAGATGCTTGAGATACATGGCACTACATTCTTCTGACTTCATGTACAAGATTACAAGCTGTTCAATAGTTGAGCGCACAACTTCTTCTTTACTTGCTGTTACTCAGATCATATACATTTTTCCTATCTTTCTTGTACTTCTAGTGGACCAGTGTGAGCAAATGAGTTAGTGTTTATTCTGGCCAACAAATGCAGTAGCTCAGCTGCCTTATAAGCAAGGAGGGAAAGTTATGTACAAGAGGTCTCACAAATAAGGTTTCCAATTTGTGTACATTCTTTGCTTGATCAAACTAATAAATTGCATTATTGCTAGATATGCCTTTTCCTACAGGAAGGTAATTAACGATTGTTGATGAACAGGGCCCAGGATTCTTCCTTTGTAAGTAAGGAAGAAACTTTTGAGGCCGCACGCAGTTATTATTAGAAAGTAAGCATTGGTATTTTTTAAAAACAGGGTACATGAGTTACTTTTCTTCTGTAGGCTAGAAAGCTCCCCAGACTTTCATAATTATACATGTGGATAACTGGACATGGAATAATGGGTATAAGGAGAAAAACATTTTAAAGAAGAACACTACGAAAAGCTATATTCTTTTCTACTGCTATATTTCCTTTGTAAAGACCTTTTATTGTACCTTAATATTTTTAAAAATCGATATCTCTGCAGTAGGTACACACTCCTATAAGTATATTGACATCGCGAGAGGAAAATCTGGTGTGTTAATATTCAAAATGGAAGAACTTCATATCTCTAACATCTCACTACTCAAGTCAGTTGAAGTGCTGCAATATAAGTACAGCAATATGGTAACACAGTAAATTAACGAAATGGAGAGACAGGTAAGGCACATGAAGCATTTAATGAAACCGCTTGATCAAGGCCCATGATTATTCTGTTGTAGACTTTCTAGGTGTACTATTTGAACACACCAGTGTACATGCATACTCCTAGTTTAAATTTCCTGTTTAGTATGACAATATATTAATTAATTGTAATGTGGCCATACATCCAGAGAATACTTTGTACCAACCAGTTGGCTTATCATGCATACTTATAGTCAATGTTTCAAAGGGATATATGCTATTCAGAATTTCAGATATAATGATTCTAGACAAGCTAATTATAATCACTATCATGATACACATGCTTTTATGTTTTGACAACTCTGCTCACAGGCACCTTTTTCTTTTCTAATCATTCTCAGATACATGCAGTACAGGTATATCTCTTGCATTAATGTGATACTTATATTAGTCTTCCTCTAGACCTGTGTGACTTGTATGTGACTAGCTTTCAGTAAGGATAACAGATAATTCAACTAATTAACTCAAACTCAAGGTGACACTGAATGAACCAATATATAACTGACTGAAATATAGTGCCATCCGAATTTGATAAAAAAGATAGATCATTTCTGTAACCAGAAGACCTGAAACCTGCTTATACATCCTAGCTTGTATACTGCATGAAGTATAAAACCTAACTCAGGGAAACCTATCAGTTGTGCTAGATTAAGGTAGAAACTAAGTATATGCATTTGTCATGATTCTTGTAAACATATGTGATGTGAACAAATTGAGTACATTTAGTTTGCACTAGCTAGCTGTTACCAGGACGGTTCAAGAATTTCACCTGAAATTGATTGCCCAAACCTTCCGATCAAAACTGTATGTGACCTGTTAAGGATGATATTCCCATGTAGCACTGGAAAAGACAGAACAGCTCCAAGAGAACCTCAAAATTAGCACATCAGCAAAATATAGTTGGCAAAATTAGTGGAACACACCTAGCATGAACATAAGATTTGCAAGAACTCAATTAATCTCACCGTTTGCACACAAAGTTTGCATATCAATCACTGTCAATCTGTCATGCAGCTGCATATATACAAGAAATCATCTGAAGTAATTAGAATTAGTACTCCGCCGTTGTTGCAGCTCTCATTAATTAGTCCAATCCTTCCATCGGATGCCCTATCGCCGCCGCCTCCGACATGAACCAGTCAAGCTCACCTTCGCCGCCGATGCCTTTCATCAGATCTCTGACGTCGTGCTCTTCCTCCCTCGCATCCTCGAAGCAGCCGGTGCCGGAGGAGGTCGCCCCCTCCCCTTTCTCCTTGGACGGTCCTGCAGCGGCGGCAGCAGCGCCCGGGGTCCCGTCGGCAAGCCGGTCGATGGCCGGCTTGGACTGCGTGAGGAGCCACTCCACCGTCTTGCTGGCCTTGTCGAAGCCGAGGAGGTCCTGCAGGGCGAAGAACTCGCGCGCCACGCCGACGGACAGCCGCATCCGGCGGTCGCGCACCCCCTGCGCCGTGCGGATCTTGCTGTGCCGGTCCGTTCGGAACGGCCTCTTCCGCGCCGCCCCGACGACTGCACCCCCTGGCCCCGGCGCCCCATCATTCCCCGGCTCCCCCCGCTCCGCCGGAGCTGGAGCGGTCACCGGCTGCCAGAGCACCGCTTCCAGGGTCCCCTCCTCCTGCAGCAGCAGCAGCTGCTGCTGGTGGTACATCTCGGCGGGGAAGAACTGGAAGTACTCGCCAAAAGACGACGCGGCTGGATGCATGTATGGCGGCCGGTGGGTAGTAGGGTTTGGTAATGGCGGTTCTTGGTGGGATACTCAATGATGATGATGGTGATGATAACGGTGGATGGTTGGGTCATCTCTCAAATAGTTCGAAGCTTCACTAGCAAACCAAACCAATCAGTAAACTAGTGTGGATCAGTGGATGGACACCTAGAAGGTCCCTGGTCTAGTAGTGGCCGGCAGTACTAGCTAGTGTTAATGCGGATCTAAATCTTACTTCTACTTTTACTGCTAGGTCAGGTATTTGTACACATGTAACCATACAGTGCTAGGTAATGATGGGATATTTGATTATTTAACACTACACCCGTTGTATGTCAGGGCAACTCCAACACCGAGCAACAAATTACCCGCAAATGTCATTCAGATATCCAAATTCTCACAAACCAGAAACAAAGTGGGGAATGTATGACGGAGGAGGGACGCCCGCCACGTTGGACACTGACAAACCATTCCGCCAAGCAGCCGTGGCATCCATATCAGATGCATTGTGAAGGAGGAGCCGCCCTCCTCGCCAGTGGGGCAACTTTTGGCGGCCGGTCTCCATCAAGATCTAGCCCAATTGCCAACTGCCCAAGCAACATCCGAACAATTCCTCCAAGGCTACGGAGCCGGCGGCGCGTCTCTTTGACGGCGAAGCGGAGCGACGCATCACGCAGTGCTGGGTAGTGTTCGTGAACACCCAAGTGGCGTCCACGTCAAGTCCGACACCCATTGCCGATGCTCCTTTGAGTGGGGCTGGCGGAGTCCGAGCGTGTAGCTTTCATCCAAGCCATCGACGCCGCTAAAGACAATCGGCAAAAGGTGTTGGACGATGAGTGATGACCCACAAGTATAGGGGTTCAATCGTAGTCCTCTCGACCAGTAAGAGTGTCGAACCCAATGAGGAGCAGAAGAAAATGATAAGCGGTTTTCAGCAAGGTATTCTCTGCAAGTACTGGAAGTAGCGGTAACAAATAGTTTTGTAGCTAGGTAATTCGTAACAAGTAACAAATAGCAATAGTAACAAAGGTGCAGAAGGTGGCTCAATCCTTTTATAGCAAAGCACATGACATAACGATCTCTTATATAGAGCAAAGCGTTCTCCAGGACACATGGGAATTACCGTCTAGTCACTTTCATCATGTTTAGTTTATTCGTATTCACTACTTTGATAATTTGATATGTGGGTGGATCGGTGTTTGAGTGTTTTTCTTACTTGAATAAGAAACACACATATGATTACCCTCTTTCGCAAGCATCCGCAATTACGAAAAAAGAATTAAACTAAAACTAACCATAGCATGAAACACATGGATCCTAATCAGCCCCTTACAGAATAACGCATAGACTAGGGTTTAAGATTCTACAACTCTAGCAACCCATCATCTACTTATTACTCCACAATGCCTTCCCTTAGGCTCAAGTATGGCAAAGTGTCATGTAGTTCCAGTGGAGGAATGGCTTTATTCATGATATTACTCTCCTTTCACACCGGATCCAGGGAAGCTCTGCTCAAGTGGATTGATTTCTTACCTCCTTGAGGCGTCTCATCAGTTGTATTTTCCTTTTTCTAGTTGTAAACTTTAGTGCTTTCCTTCTTTTTTTAGATTAGTATAGCCTTTCCTGTATAGCTTTTTTGTTTTAGTTTGTTCCTCCTCTTGAGGAACCTCCTGTATCTGTCTGGTTTTGCTCTAATAAAATGTTGTGGGGTGTAAGCCCTGCAGTTTTCAAGGTCAAAAAAAAGTGTCATGTAGTCTACGTTCAAATGACACCACTGAAAGGAAGCAACAACATACATATCATCAAAATATAATGAATATCAATTTTATATGATTACTTATAACAAGACTTCTCCCATGTCCTTAAGAATGAAAGTAACTACTCACAAATCATGTTCATGTTCAAGACCAGATGTGAAGCTCATTAGTCCCGGTTTGTAAGTGAACCGGCACTAATGTGACCATTAGTGCCGGTTCCAACGGCTAGGCGAGCGGTGGTTATTAGTCCCGGTTCCTGGCGAACCTCCAGTACCGGTTCGTGCCACGAACCGGGACTAAAGAGGTGGTGGCAGGCTGGTGTCAAGCTGCGGCCCCACCAACACCTTTAGTCCCGGTTCGTGGCACGAACCGGTACTAGAGATGCACCTTTAGTCCCAGTTTGTATTACCAACCGGGACTAAAGATCATCCTATATAAATCCCTTCGTCGAGCCCGAGCTCTTTGTTCTTCCCATTTCCTTTCCTCTCATCTTTGTTCTTCCCCTGTTCCTCGAGCTCATCACACATTTTGCCCAAATTTTGTCAAGATTTGAAGGGCCCCATCCATTCAAATGATCACAAAGGTTAGCAACTTTCTCCTTTCATCTCTCATTGCTAGATTAGTTCTTGCAATGCTCTATATAGTGATTAATTTGTGGAATTTAGTAATTTGGGAGGAATTATATGTGGTAGTTTATTTGATTTATATGCAATTTGAGCTCAAAATAACTCTTAGTTGCATATTTAGGTGTGGTTTACTTAGTGCCTTCCCGTCTCCATCCTAACCACCATCGATCACCCGCACCGTCCCGTCGCCGGCACCACCTTGTGGTGAGACTCTTGTTCTTATCTTTTTTATATAAAAAAATCATGTTTGTGTGATTTAGATATATAATAACTTGTATAATTATCTTACATGTACGCTATTTGTTATACATAGTACCATGGTTTTGATTGTTGGGGAACGTTGCATAAAATAAAAAATTTCCTACGTTCACCAAGATCAATCTATGAGTTCATCTAGCAACAAGAGAGAGGAGTGCATCTACATACCCTTGTAGATCGCGAGCGGAAGCGTTCAAGAGAACGGGGTTGAGGGAGTCGTACTCGTCGTGATCCAAATCACCGAAGATCCTAGCGCCGAACGGACGGCACCTCCGCATTCAACACACGTACGGTCAGCGTGACGTCTCCTCCTTCTTGATCCAGCAAGGGGGGAGGAGAGGTTGATGAAGATCCAGCAGCACAACGGCGTGGTGGTGGATGCAGCAGGAAACCGGCAGGGCTTCGCCAAGCGACTACAGGAGGAAGAGGTGTAGCAAGGGGAAGGGAGGCGCCAGGTGTCAGGGTGCGGCTGCCCTCCCACCCCCCGCCCCTCTTTATATAGGGACCCCAGGGGGCGCCGGTGTTGGGGAACGTTGCAGAAAATTAAAATTTTTCCTACGGTTTCACCAAGATCCATCTATGAGTTCATCTAAGCAATGAGTCAAGGGAGTGAGTTTGCATCTACATACCACTTGTAGATCGCGTACTGAAGCGTTAGATGGAGCGGTGATGATGGAGTCATACTCGCCGTGATTCAGATCACCGGAGATCCTAGCGCCGAACAGACAGCACCTCCACGTTCAACACACGTACGGAGCGTGTGACGTCTCCTCCTTCTTGATCTAGCAAGGGGGAAGGAGAGGTTGATGATGATGGCCCCAGCAGCAGCACAACGGCGTGGTGGTGGTGGAATAGTAGCACTCCGGCAGGGCTTCGCCAAGCACGTGACGGAGGAGGAAGAGGTGTAGCAGGGGGAGGTGGCGCCAGGACTTCAGGGTGCGGCTGCCCCTCTCCCCCCTCCCTTTATATAGGCCCCCAGGGGGGGCGCCGGCCCTGGGAGATTCAATCTCCCAAGGGGGCGGCGGCCAAGGGGGGAGGAGTGCCCCCCAAGGCATGTGGTGCGCCCCCCCCCCCCACCCTAGGGTTTCAACCCTAGGCGCAGGGGGTGGGCCTAGGGGGGCGCACCAGCCCACTATGGGATGGCTCCCCTCCCACTTCAGCCCATGGGGCCCTCCGGGATGGGTGGCCCCACCCGATGGACCCCCGGGACCCTTCCGATGGTCCCGGTACAATACCGGGTGACCCCGAAACTTTCCCGATGGCCGAAATACCACTTCCTATATATAATTCTTTTCCTCCGGACCATTCTGAAACTCCTCGTGACGTCCGGGATCTCATCCGGGACTCCGAACAACATTCGATATACTGCATACTCATATTCATACAACCCTAGCGTCACCGAACCTTAAGTGTGTAGACCCTACGGGTTCGGGAGACATGTAGTCATGACCGAGACGGCTCTCGGGCAATAACCAACAGCAGGATCTGGATACCCATGTTGGCTCCCACATGCTCCTCAATGATCTCATCGGATGAACCACGATGTCAAGGATTAGAACAACCCCGTATACAATTCCCTTTGTCATTCGATACGTTACATGCCCGAGACTCGATCGTCGGTATCCCAATACCTCGTTCAGTCTCGTTACCGGCAAGTCACTTTACTCGTACCGTAATGCATGATCCCGTGACCAAACACTTGGTCACTTTGAGCTCATTGTGATGATGCATTACCGAGTGGGCCCAGAGATACCTCTCCGTCATACGGAGTGACAAATCCCAGTCTCGATCCGTGTCAACCCAACAGACACTTTCGGAGATACCTGTAGTGCACCTTTATAGTCACCCAGTTACGTTGTGACGTTTGGTACACCCAAAGCACTCCTACGGTATCCAGGAGTTACACGATCTCATGGTCTAAGGAAGAGATACTTGACATTGAAAAAGCTCTAGCAAAACGAACTACATGATCTTGTGCTATGCTTAGGATTGGGTCTTGTCCATCACATCATTCCCCTAATGATGTGATCCCGTTGACAATGACATCTAATGTCCATAGTCAGGAAACCATGACTATCTGTTGACCAACGAGCTAGTCAACTAGAGGCTCACTAGGGACATGTTATGGTCTATGTATTCACACGTGTATTACGATTTCCGGATAATACAATTATAGCATGAATAAAAGACAATTATCATGAACAAGGAAATATAATAATAATGCTTTTATTATTGCCTCTAGGGCATATTTCCAACAGCCGGCCCTAGGAGATGGGATCTCCTAGGGAGGGCGGCGGCCAAGGGGGGAAACTTGCCCCCCAAGGCAAGTGGAGGTGCCCCCTCCCCTAGGGTTCCC